AGTATTCATACTAATGTCGCTGTTCCTCTGTTCTCCTCTTCAGGTCAACAGACCTCTGACCATGAAGAAGGAAGGCATCCAGACACGGAACCGTAAGGTCTCCAGGAAGAACAACAGGGCTAAGCAGAAGACAGGTGTGTTAGAGGCTGAGCTGGGTCTCTACTCTGACTCCTCCCTGTCCAGACTCCAGTCCTCTGACCTCTCTCTGTCCAGACTCCAGTCCTCTGACCTCTCCTGTCCAGACTCCAGTCCTCTGACCCTCCCTGTCCAGACTCCAGTCCTCTGACCTCTCTCCTGTCCAGACTCCAGTCCTCTGACCTCTCCCTGTCCAGACTCCAGTCCTCTGACCTCTCCCTGTCCAGACTCCAGTCCTGACCTCTTCCCTGTACCAACTCCGTCCTCGGACTCCTCCCTTGTCCAGACTCCAGTCCTCTGACCTCTCCCTGTCCAGACTCCAGTCCTCTGACCTCTCCCTGTCCAGACTCCAGCCCTCTGACCTCTCCCTGTCCAGACTCCAGTCCTCTGACCTCCTTCCCTGTCCAGACTCCAGTCCTCTGATGACCATATGAACCCTTACCTCCTGGGTCATTCTGGGGCGATGCTCTCCTACAGCCACCCCTCCTCAAACCGACTGTCCTCTCCCTCCTCCACACCCCACTCCTCTGCCATGCCCCACTATACACACTGAGGACTACTACACACTGAGGACTACTAAACACTGAGGACTACTACACACTGAGGACTACTACACACACTGATGACTACTACACACTGAGGACTACTACACACTGATGACTACTACACACTGAGGACTACTACACACTGAGGACTACTACACACACTGATGACTACTACAAACTGATGACTACTAAACACACTGATGACTACTACACACTGAGGACTACTACACACACACACTGATGACTACTACACACTGATGACTACTAAACACACTGATGACTACTAAACACACTGATGACTACTACACACTGAGGACTACTACACACACACACTGATGACTACTACACACTGAGGACTACTACACACTGAGGACTACTACACACACACTGATGACTACTACACACTGAGGACTGCTACACACTGATGACTACTACACACACTGAGGACTACTACACACTGATGACTACTACACACTGAGGACTACTACACACACACTGATGACTACTACACACTGAGGACTGCTACACACTGATGACTACTACACACACTGAGGACTACTACACACTGATGACTACTACACACTGATGACTACTACACACTGATGACTACTACACACTGATGACTACTACACACTGATGACTACTACACACTGATGACTACTACACACTGATGACTACTACACACACTGAGGAAGACCTGAGCAGAATAGTTTTGGGGTGCTATAGTGAGCCATGTTGCCTTTGAAAAATACTATTTTATGCTGTTGTCAGATAATGACTAATGAAGATGATGTTTGTTTCAGTTTAATAATCCTGACCTCTCCCTTCTAATGATCACCTTTACTTACGTAGGTTATCTGAATAAATGCCTGTTTGAATACATGGTCTCTCTCTGAAGTCACTTCCAACTGTAAAACACACGCAGACTGAAACACCACACTAGGATTCATGTGTGTTGTAATGACTGTACACCATGTTACAATGTCTTATAGTCTGTGGATGACCTTAGACAGTGTAGTTGGGCAGTTAGGCACTATTTTCCATAAGAGTCTGTTCTATAATCATGTCTTTGTCTGAGAACAGCTAGCCAAACTTTGTTAAAGTTTCTCTGGCAAATTATTTATGCAAATTCAACACTTTCCATACTGCTAGTACATGGTCAAAACCACCCACCTGGATAAGAGGAACACCTACGTGAGAATACTGTTCATTGACTACAGCTCAGCGTTCAACACCATTGTCCCCTCAAAGCTCATCACTAAGCTAAGGACCCTGGGACTGAACACCTCCCTCTGCAACTGGATCCTGGACTTCCTGACGGGCCGCCCCCAGGTGGTGAGGGTAGGCAACATCACCTCCGCCACGCTGACCCTTAACACGGGAGCCCCCCAGGGGTGTGTGCATAGTCCCCTCCTGTACTCCCTGTTCACCCACAACTGCGTGGCCACGCACGACTCCAACACCCATCATCAAGTTTGCTGACGACACGACGGTGGTAGGCCTGATCACCAGCAACGATGAGACAACCTACAGGGAGGAGGTCAGTGACCTGGCGGTGTGGTGCCAGAACAACAACCTCTCCCTCAACGTCAGCAAGATAAAGGAGCTGATCGTGGACTACAGGAAATGGGGGGGGGGGGGGGGGGGGGGGGGGTGAGGAGCTTGAAGTTCCTCCAAATTTCTAATTACTTAAAATGGTCCAAACAAGCACACAGTCATGAAGAAGGTGCAACAGCACCTATTCCTCCAAAGGAGGTTGAAAAAGTTTGCCATGGGGCCCTCAAATCCTCAAACAGTTCTACAGCTGTACCATTGAGAGCATACCAGCTCAGCTAGTAGAGCACGGCGCTTGTAATGCCAAGGTAGTGGGTTCGATCCCCGGGACCACCCATACACACAAAAAAATTATATGTATGCACGCATGACTGTAAGTCGCTTTGGATAAAAGCGTCTGCTAAATGGCATATTATTATTATTATTATTATATTGACTGGCTGCATCACTGCTTGGTATGGCAATAGCACCGCCCTCTATCGCATGGCGCTACAGAGGGTGGTGCGGACAGCCCAGTACATCACTGGGGCCGAGGACCTCCCTGCCATCCAGGACCTCTATACCAGGCGGTGTGAAGAGAAGGCCCGGGAAATTGTCAAAGACACCAACCACCCAAGCCATAGTCTATTTCCTCTGCTGTCGCACAGTAAGAGGTACCGGTGCATCACGTCTGACACCAACAGGCTCCTGAACGGCTTCTATCCACAAGCAATACGACTGATAAATAGCTGACAAAATGGCTACAGACTAAGTTGACCCTTGTATTTATTTGTCTCTATAAACACCCACAGGACTCTACACACTCACGCACACTGACACTCCAACACACACACAACACGCAAACATGTTTATACTGACTCTACACACGCTCACATACAATCACCATTTACGCTGCTGCTACTCTGTTTATCATATATCCTGTTGCCTAGTCACCTTACCCCTATACATATCTACCTCTATCAGTTATTTACTCCTGACTTACTTTCTCATGTTCTGCTTATTTCTTTCTTATGTGTTTCTACCTTGTGTTATTTTTAGTACTACGTTTATATGGATCACTGCATTGTTGGGATTAAGAGTTAGCAAGAAAGGCATTTCACTGTACTTGTGCACTTGACATAAAAAAATTGGGGGGTGCCTGCCAGCAAAGCCACTACACAACACTAAACAATACATTAATTGCACAATAACGGTGACAAACGGTGCCCACAAACTGTTAGGGCCTCCATAAAGCCGTCCCAACAGCAGAGTCCCAACAGCAGAGTCCCAACACCTTACCACTGCTACACCTGGCTATCAGCGGAGCCTTGTCTGGCAGCGAAACAGTTCATTCAGCCTCATTTACTGCCTTAAAAAAAAACATAGCTGATATGGCTGACTTGCTTAAACAAATGTGGTTTCTACTGACAATTGAAATGTACATACTATGGCATAAGGGGACGACGAGCAGATTAGAGGCAATCCGTAATTTCGATTGAGACATTAATGAGCGAGCTAGGACGGACGTAGTCAATAGAACTATTCAAATCAATGCAAATAGTCCGGGTGGCCATTTATTAATTGTTCAGCAGTCTTATGGCTTGGGGATAGAAGCTGTTAAGGAGCCTTTTGGACCTAGACTTGGCGAGAAAACAGTCTATGACTTGGGTGACTGGAGTCCTTGACAATTTTTTGGGCCTTCCTCTGACACCGCCTAGTATATAGGTCCTGGATGGCAGGAAGCTTGGCCCCAGTGATGTACTGGGCTGTACGCATTACCCTCTGTAGCGCCTTACGGTCGGATGCCGAGCAGTTGCCATACCAGGCGGTGATGCAACCGGTCAGGATGTTCTCGATGGTGCAGCTGTATAACTTCTTGAGGATCTGGGGACCTATGCCAAATCTTTTCAGTCTCCTGTTATAGGCTATAGCATTCCAGGTGACTATCTCATGAAGCTGGTTGAGAGAATGCCAAGAGTGTGCAAAGCTGTCATTATGGCAAAGGGTGGCTATTTGAAGAATCTCAAATATATGGTTACTACATGATTCCATATGTGTTATTTCATAGTTTTGATGTTCTACAATGTAGAACATATTAAAAATAAAGAAAAAGCCTTGAATGAGTAGGTGTGTCCAAACTTTTGACTGGTACTGTAAATATATATATTTTTTTAGCTAAACAGGTGGGGCTAAAAAGAAATGCCCTGAATGACGGGTCGCCACTGGATGTGATAAGATATTGTGTAAAATAATGAATTTGAAGAATTTATCTGCACTGTATGTTTGTTAGCTAGCCAGCCAACCAGTTTTGTAGGAATGATTCCATTCATTTGTCAAATTAACTGCCAATATGCCAACCTTCCATTTAAACAATGCAGTCAATCCACAGCCATACACTGGCTGAAATCAGTTGACTTAGACAAGTCGTGGACCTTGGGACTATAAAGTTCTATCCGTGCAAAGCCTATTTCTGAGATATTGAGCATCAAAGTTATATTACATCCCAGATCTCAGAACTGTTTTGTGGTGAATTCTTCTTTCATAATTAATTAAAAGGTATCAACATCCTAAAACATTAGTAAATCCGTTTTTTTTTTTAGAGGGGTGCAATCGCAGATAGAACCTTACGGCTCTGAAATGTCAATCTGCATAAAGTTCAATCTGACACTTCTGAATTAGACATGTTCAGTTTTTAAGAAGATTGTAGCTAATTGAATACATAAATGAAATAATAACACTATTTTACCAAGATAGAGTCAGGAACATATCATCAGATACATTAAGAAACTTATTATGATCATCAGACGAATTACCTGTCGTCACTGAACAACGAAGTGACAACATCATTTACTTGAAGGTTTCTGACAGTGTTGGTTTTTTTTTGCTTGCGTGCCGTTATCGCTGGGTAGACTACCCTGGACCATACTTAGAGAGAGATGGCAAAGACGTGTTCTGATTGGTCCGTCTGTATTTGTTCAGGCTTGCGATTGGATTGCAGATAGGACCTTATAGCGCCAAGTTAAAATGGATTTATGCAGATAGAACTTTCTAGCTGTTCATTTTTTTTCACTTAAAATTAACTTAAAAAAATAAATAATCTGATTTCACAGATCAATGTGACTAACTCATTTTTGACAACAATTTCAGATAGAACCTTATAGTCCCAAGGTCTCAAAGTTGTAAATGCAACAAGACCCATGTGGCGGCGTACAATTGGCCCAGCGTCGTCCAGGGTAGGGGAGGGAATGGCCGGCAGGGATGTAGCTCAGTTGGTAGAGCATGGCGTTTGCAACGCCAGGATTGTGGGTTCGATTCCCACGGGGGGCCAGTATGAAAAAATAAAAAATATAATGTAT